GACAAACTTCAGTCAGAGAGTGGTAAATCTATGGAATTCACTGCCACAGAAGGCTGTGGAGGCCAAGTCATTGAGTACATTTAAGACTGAGATAGATAGGCTCTTGATTATCAAGGGTTACGGGGAGAAAGCAGGAGAATGGGACTGAGGAACTTATCAGCCATGATTGAATGGCACAGCAGACTTGATGGGCTGAATGGCCAAATTTCTGCTCCAATGTTATGGTCTTATCGTCTTAAGGTAAGTTCTCCACTAATAACTGGGAGATAAAGGACAATGGCAGTAAAAAGCACAAACAATTTTTTTTCAGTGGACACCTCCAACTTAAGTCAAACCATCAGATCCAACAAAGTAAATTTCAAAACCAGAGACAGGCACTTGGTGAACTCGTTGACAAATTTTTTCACAAGATTGAAAAATACAGCTAGATCGAAGGTTAAGGATACAAATGAAATGTTGCTAGTTCTGCATACTCTGAAGTGCAAAAATGTCTGTTTGGAGAAAGAGAAGTTCACAATATCTCAGGGATTGTAGACATTGCCATAGCCAATGAAACCATGAGCAGAGATTTGAAGACGCTGACTATCCAAATAGCTTGTCATCAGTTAAGTCACGAAAAAGATACAAGGATTGATGTCTTAAATCAGCAACAAAAGAAGGCACACTAGAAAGAAAGATCACCAATAGCTGTGATGACCACCTGAGATCACAGACAAATGAAAATAACACCTATATGGGCTATACTGCTGAGCTTGTGGAAACCTTGGGATGAAATATGCAGAACAAAAGAAGATAGTAAAAATGTTACGAAAGACTGAACAACACGATGAATGGGAAAGAAAATAAACCAAAACCTTCATATCCTTCATCATGATGATGTGTTTGAGGATACAACAGGCGTAGGAACCATGCAACTGAATGAATTGTCTGGGCGCAACAGTTCTCATGGGAAAGAAATTCACATCCATTCAAAGAAAATGAGAAATAAGCTCTCAGACATAAATCTGGAGCTTATGATTGATACTAGAACACAAGATAACATTATTCCATACAGACTAGAGGAGATGATCTTGCCTGAAAATTTGCATGAAAATGATTACCCAAGGAAAAATGTTATAAGACTGAGAAAAGTCATGCTCATGGCATATAAGTGAAGTAGATTCAATAACAGGAAAAACTCAAGTCAGAAAGGCATACAAAGAAAAAGATGTCAACTTTATATTCTATGTAACTGAAACAAATAATTCTAAAATATTGGGATTGAGCAGTTGTGACGAGCAGACCATGAGGTGGAAAAGGTGGTGATAAGGATTGAAAGTAGTAAACTAATTGAAAGGTACCCTCCAATAAGAAGCAAGAATGTCTGGTACAATTGTCTGAAGAAATGTATGATCATTAGCCGGGAATGTTAGCAGTGGTGCATAAGGGCTGCACAATCCTTTCCAGGAAGATGCCTGGAAAATCCAGGAAATGTGGGAACCACGAGGTATAGCAAATATAACCTGCACGCACTTGCCTGTGGCACAGTCGTATTGTCCCTATCTTGGAGCCAGATGGCTCTGGTTCAAGTTCCAACTGCAATGGAGGTGTGTCATAATCAAACATGTTGATAAAAAATAATTGCACATCAGAAGGAAGCAACACTGGTGACATTGCAACCTTATATGCCTTCAGTTAAAATTATGCACACATATTTGGAAACAAGCCAGTGTTAGCTAAATAACTGCTGACTGATTTTGTTTGGCCTAAACATGGGTTGCTAAGTCAAATTATTGATTTTGTATTTTGTTGCTCTCAAGTACACAGACGTTTATGCTCAAATTCCAACTATGCAAAACTTTGTTTACTTTACAAGAGATCTGCCTGCCTGCAAATCCAAGCTTCCTGCCAAGGATGTCTGCATAAGTTTAATAACATGCACAGAGCTTTCTTCTAAATAAATTTCAGGATGACAAGAATCCTGACTGTCAACGTTTAAATCAAGGCACAGAAGATTTTTTTAAAATGAGCCTAGGAAGGTCAAAAGGACTCTGACCTGGGCTCATATTCCATGCCATTTCAAATAGAAGCACTAAGAGAAGGCAGCTTCAGGAACTCCACTTCTCTTCACTTGGCTATCACTTGACTCCAGACTTAGAATATAATTTTAATAATCATATGAAGCAGAAACCACTTTTCACTGTCATAACATTTACAATGCAACTTATGTGAAGAAGTCCAAACTTCACAAAATATGAAAATGTATTAAACATTCAATCCCTCCAGCACCGCTGCACAGTGTTAGCAAAGCAACAAAATGCAGTGCTGCAAATCACCAAGGTCCCTGCGACAGCACTTTTCAAACCTATGACCTCCACCACCTAGAAGGACAAAACTGGCAGATGCATGGAAAAACCTCCCCCACCTGAAAATTCTTATCAATGTCACTCAGCACCCTGACTTGCAAATATATTACCACCCTTTCATTGTTGCTGGGTCAGTATCTTGGAACCCCCTATCTTACTGTACTTTGTGATACCTACAGCACATGGACTGCAACAATTAGGAAGGCAGCTGATGAACTTGAAATTACTATCCATGATACGGACAAGCATGGGCAATAAATGGCTGTTTTGCCAGCAATACTCACATTCCAAGACTGAATGAATGAAAAAAAAACAGTTCTTGCATCAATATTTTCACAATGAGCTACAAAATCTGGTACCCAAGCTATACAGGCAATGTCATGCATCTTGAAACGATCCCCCAAATCAAGGCTCACCAGTAGTCTGTGGTTGACCAAAGCAGATGGTACTCCGGATGAACACATAGTGGTCATCTTATTTGATTCATAAACCAGACGCCCAACTCAGAGAAGGGTTTAAATGCCACTAAGTCAGCTGGTGGAAATTAAATACAATTAATTAATAAATCTGGAATTATAAGCTAGTCTAAGAATTATTGATCATGAAACAGTTGGACAATCTTAAGATTCCATCTGGTTCATGAATGACTGCCAGGAAAGGCAATCTGCCATCTAAACCTGGTTTGGCCCATACATGGTAGCCCACTTTATTCCCTTCATGAGCATCCATTCAGGGCCAGTACTCTCAACTCATGCATCAAAGCTCCATTCCAGATTGAGAACACTGCAGGACAAAGGAAGTATCTTTCATGAGATGTTAAAGCAAAACACCATCTGCCGTCTCAGGTGGGCATTTTGAAGAGGAGAGCTTCTGTTTGTGTTTCTGCTAGACTTTCTGTTTGTGTTTCAAAAGGAGAGTTTTCTCCAGTATTCTGGCCAATATGTATCCTTTAACCTACGTCATTAAAACAAGTCATTACCTTACTGCCAGTTGTATGATCTTGTCCTATGAAAATTGGTTCCCACAGTTCACATTATAATAGTGAGTACACTTGTAAAGTACTTCACTGGCTGCAAACTGCTTTGAAACGTAACGTAATTGCAAGATTTTATAAGTTGGTTAAAATTCTTCCCTTACCATAACAATGAATCTAAGATGTTCAGGGCTCTAGAGTTACTGTTCTCTTTTGAGACTTGCTACAAAACTTTATTGGGATTACACCTATGCTCGCGGGAGACCAGCATCAAACAATTAGCTCCAGACGTAAAATCGTAAATGCTCTCTTTCTTAAGAGCATCACTGTTTCTAGTATTACACCAGCGTGTGACCAAACAGGATAGGCCATCCTGTTGTGCGATGTTCAAAATTATTTGGGGTTGGCTCCCCAAAGCTTCAAGATTTAAGAAACAGCCTGAATTAAATCAAATAAAAATAAAATTATCATATAGTTTAGAATTTACTTGTTTAATTTTTGAGCTCTCCTAACAAAATAAGTTGGCCCAAGACAGTGATCAACTGAGGCACTAGAAACAGAAAAAAGAGGGACAGGAGTAGACCATTCAGCCCTTCAATCCTGCTCTGCCATTCAGCATGATCATGGCTGATCATCCAATTCAGTAACTTGTTCCCACCTTTTCCCATATCCTTTCATCCCTTTAGCCCTAAGACCAATGTCAAACTCTGAAATAACTCCACATAGACCAGTGTCCCATCACCAGGTCACCCTTTATTTACACGTGGAACGTCCTTGACACTGATCCAGTTTCCTCAGAGCCAGCTCTTAGAGTGAACAGAACCTCTGACATTCTTGTTTCTATCTGTCAGCCAGGGCTCCCTGTTTGGACCAGATTAACAGCCCCAATCAGGGAGCTCATATTCCACCTGAGATCCACCTGACTGACCCTGTTACAATCAGAGGTTGTGACTCCTGGCTCTGGACTCCCAGTCATCACGAACATACTAACTGCATTTAAAATTCATTGAAACTGCAACAGAGGGCAGGAAACAATGCAGCAAACCTCATAATTAATTGCTGTTCAATTACTAATCCTGGAAAATGTATGTGTGATCATTGATGTGGAGAGGATTTGAACTCAGCTACTATGTCCACTGTGGTCAATCAATATTCTAATGTGGAATTATTAGGCTGGAATTGTTAGAGATTGAATATAAAAGGTTTTTAAAGGAATTAATCTTGCACAAAAATAACTTATACTAGGTTCCACATTACAAAAATACTTCACTTAAAATTTCAAAACTGAAAGACCACAAACATTGTTTAAAATGTTGTTAACAGTTTTTGCAGAGATGGCAGAAGAGGTGTGTTTCTGCATTGCTTCACACATTGTTTACATTTACAGATTAAGTTAGCTATAACTAACCATAACAAAATATCTTACTGTACATTCATTATAAGCACCAGTGTTTCTGCAGAAACGTGAGATAATGTTTAAGTTGTCCATATATACAGTTTTACAGATTATACGGCAAGTGAAGATGTATTTGAAATTGCAAGAGTAAAAGGATTTCTAAAATGTGACAAGCAGAAAAGAAAAAGTCAATACTTATCCACTTGAATGGAGCTGGAACTCTCCAGAGGTCTCTTGTAGAGGTCAAAATGGAGAATGACAGAACAAGTGGTCAATCTAGGCTGACGGATATATGAGAATGGCACAAGACAGCCCTGTGTGGTCTACCTTGTCAGGAGATCACCTGGCACAGGTATTTGTAGGCAAGAGTAGCCTGGAGCATATTAACTAAGATTGAAAATGGGCAAAGAGTTATGGAATGCAGATGTTAATGCAGTTAATCCAGCTAGAATTAATAAATAAGTTGATTGTAGACATAAAAGTAACAAACTCAAGGTTTGGACTCTGCACATTGAACTCATCCTTGTTATCCGGCACAATACTTTGTGTATATTACCAGAAATATACAGAATGTTAACAGAAACATACTTTTGCAATAGCATTCAAAAGATGTGGGAAAAATTCTCATTAAAATACATTTTGTCTTATTAAATTATGTATATACCTCATAGATGGGGGAATTTATCCACGAAAATGTTCTGTTTACTGTTTCACCTTAATTCCATTGATCATAACTACAGCAAAGACTCCAGAAATATGTACTTTCATTCTGTAATATTATTATTAATTTACAAATGATGTGTTCGACATCAATAAATTACCATGATGTGATATGAACAATTTGATTATAGCCCATCATGAGGTATTATCTAATTAAGAACCGTGACTAAGAGAAGCAACAGGAGGACTGCCAATTCAACCTGTGGAACTCCACCTTAGTACACATCATGAACTTCAGGTGTAGGGAGAAAATTGAAAATTGACAAAATATGCTGCACACACACTGACAACTGACACCTAGAAAAAAAACTACAATCAACCTTCTTAAAAGAAACCAGGAATATTTACTACGTAAATGATTGTATATAAACATCAAGAGCATAAACGTTCACTATTTACTTGCTCCATCTGGTTAAATTAGCCAATCATATCATCCTTTTACACACATCCATCATAATATGCTTATGCATAGAAAATGCAAACTTTCAATTTGTTTTGTATTCATCTCGACATATTGTACCCAATAACTTTTCATTGCGTTTGACAGATGAAATGAATTTTTGTTCAAACTTTGTAATTTGATACTTAGCCCAGGAATTCTTTTCACTTCATCTTTTAATAAGTTAAATTAAATTATCAGCTTATATCTATAAAATGTCTCAGTACTTACAAGCAGTGTAGAACAGCACCACCACGTGGGGAATTGTTTCTAAGATTGCAGGAAAGCTGACATCTGTTAGTGCTTGAATTAAGCCTACATCATGCTTCCTCCATATGTATGTGTTGATAGTTTGTGCTACTTCGTCATCTTGAATATCTGAAGTACAGAAAAATAATCTTCAGATCCAACTGACCTAACTAAGATTAACATTTTTCCTAATCATGCATTCACCCTTTACAAAACTGTAAGCATCTTAATGCTTACACTGCAGGTAAAAAAAGGTTTTGCGACTAGTTTCAAAAGCATCATAGATAGTCTAAAGTGACTTTCCTGGATGCCTCAGAAGTAGCAACACTAAAGCTGCAACCACTGCCATTTTGTCTGGAATGCTTACTTTTCATGTACCCAAGTGATTGCTAACCTTTCTGTAAAATGCATTCAAAACTTATTTACTTTACCCTTTTCTAAAAGAAGTGATTATTCTCATCTCAGGAAACTATAATAGTACATTGCAGAACAGGAGGAAGCTAAGAATAATGAGGCATCCTTGTTATTTGATCCCAGAGGTACACAATTAATCATCATAATTCAACATAAAATTACAAAGGAAACAATCTCCACAAAATAAAGTATAATATAAAAACATTTCATCAAAAAATCATACATGTTGTTGAAATAAACATTATAATAAAGAACTATTCCAGTTCTGTCAACAAATGGATTTGTCCTGGCTGACTTGCTGTTATGTAATATTTTTTGTTCTTACTTCATCCTTCTTTAAGCATATACAATAGAAAAAAGTAAATATGGGAACTGCATTAACATGTGATGAAGATGCGCCATATGCATTTCTGTTATGAAGAAGACTATTCAGATCTATTTTAATGTGAACAGTACCTTCAATCTATTTATTAGCATGACATTTCTGAAGGAGGTCTTGTGGTGCAGTGGTAGGATCCAGAACCTCTGGGTCAGACATTCCTGAATTGGCCCCAGAAACAGCATTCAGGATGCATGTCATAAATTATCTTCCCACCACTTTCCTATTATTCTCAAAAAAGGGAATATAAAATGTGCGAGAAGACATGCTAAAAGCATTAACATTTTTGAATCATGTATATATAATGATATGGAATTATTGTAGTTTTAAAATATGCTTCCATTAAGAGGAACTCCTACTCTGCTTATGCTTATTTACTTAACAGGAAGTTCTGGAGTTTAAATACACTGAACAACTTTAAGTAGATGTTACCTAGTAATACAATGCATTTATGTTATGAACTTGTACTCCTCTCTTATGATATAAAGCATAAAATGGTAAACGAAAGGTTGCTCCTTACTCTCCATGTATGGGGTTGTCATTATATTTTGCTCTTTTGTGATCTAATTGTACTTCACCATACCTAGGAAATCCAAATCTTCATTTTCCTCTTCTTCATCTTTAACCCCATTGGACACATTTTTCACTTCACCTTTGACAAGATCAACAATTTCTTCAACTGATGATATAACCAAATAATTGATGGGTAAGTCCTAAAGAAACACAACAGCATATCAGAAGTCAAACAAAAACAATTTCTAAGGGTTACATATAGTTAAACACAGAAATGACCTAATTCTTAGCTTTCAGAAATTTACTTTTGGTAAATGTTTCAATGTTGTAAGAAAATAAAAGCCACATATTAACTATTCATGAACTGGATTACAATTCACATATATGCACAATTTTGTTTTGCCACAGAATTTTCCTCTGGGCAGTAACTTATGCTCAACTATCTTCAGCTGCTCCATCAATGGCTTTTCTTCCATCATAAGATCAGACCAACCTGTGATCTCTAACACACTGAAAAAAAGGATAGCGGGAACACCACCACAAGCTCCCCTCCAAGCCACATGCCATTCTACTTTGGAACTGTATAACTGTTCCATGACTAACACTAGTCAAAATCATTGAACTTGCTTCTTAACATTACTTTGGGTACACCTACAGCACATGCATGCAACAAGTCAAGGTGGTCTTATTCAAAAAGAGAAGGGGGAAAAAAATCAATTAATAGGTCATTTAGCTTAACACCTGTCATTGGAAGAATACTAAGGATGTAATAGTAGAGCATTTAAAAATACATAACATACTCAAGCAGAGTCAGAATAACGTCATGAAGGGCTGACAAGTTTATCACAGTTCTTTGAGGAGGTAACAAGCAGCATAGGTAAAGGGGAATCAGTAGATATAAAATATTTAGATTCCAAAAAGATATTCAATAAGGCGCTGGACATTATGCTACTTAATAAGATGAGTCGATGGTATTGGGGATAGTGTATTATGGATATGATGTAGATTAATGGCTTGGATGAGCAAAGTGAACTTACTATCACCGAGTTTGTGGATGAGACAAAAAATAGTTGGAAAAATAAGTAACAAGGATGACACAACGAGTCATGGGGTGAGGGATATCAACACGTTAAATGAATGGGCAAGACCTTGGCAGTTGGAATATCATGTGAAAAAATGTGATGTTAAGCACTTTAGCAGGAAGAATAGAAAGGCTGAATCATGTTTAATTGAGGAAAGGCTGCATAAAGCTACAGCGTATGGCTCACAAAAAGCTAGCATTCAGGTTCAGTGGGTAATTGAAAAGGCAAGTGGAAAGTTGGCCTTTATTCCAAATATATTAGCCTATAAATATAGGGAAGTCTTACTAAAACTATTCAACTTAGACTACATCTAGAATACTGTGAAATGTTTCTGATCCTCTTATCTAAAGAAAGCTGACACCAGAGACAGTTCAGAGATTCATTAGGCTGATTCCACTTATGGAGGGATTTTCTTATGAATGGAGGTTGACTGAGTTGAGCTATACTCATTGGAATTTAGAAGAATGAGAGGTGACCCTTTTGTAAAATGCCAGATTCTTAGGGGTTTGCCAGGGTAGATGCAAAGAGGTTGTTCCCATTGTGGTAAATCCTCGCACCATACGGCATAGTCTCAAAATAAGGTGTCATCTATTTAACACAGTGAGGAGGATTTTGTTGTTCTCAGAGGGTAGTGATTCTGTGAAATTTTTATAGCAGAGGACTGTGGAGGCTGAATTATTAAGTATATTTAAGGCTGAGATAGACAGATTTTTAATCAGTAAAGGAATCAAGGGTTATAGGGAAAAGATAGGAAAGTAAAATTGAGGATTACCAGATCAGCCATGATCTCATTGAATGGTAAAGCAGAGTTGATGGGTCAAATGGCTACCTTCTCTTCCTCTGTCTCATGGTTTTACTATCAGTTAACCAGAAATGCTGGTATCCTGAAGTGGATGGGCTGAATCACTGCCTTATAAGTATTGTTCTTTTGTAGTTATTGTGATTAACCTAGTCAATTCTGTAAAATAATTACCCTTATTTAGGTTCAGCACTGTTGTTTCCAACTCAAGTTTCTCACTCTCAAACTGAATCTAAAAGTGAATAGTCACTGTTTTCCAGAAGATCTTTTATTCTGAGATCATTTATCAATCTGCCTCATTACACAACATCTGTTCCAAAATAGCATGATTTCTGATTGAATCCACAAATTGCTCTTGAAAACTGCTTCAAATACTCTATGAACCCTTTCTCCTGGCATCCTATACCAACTTGATTTTTTCAAATCTACATAAAGATTAAAGTTACCCTTTATTAACATACTGTTTTTTTTTTCACATGCCCTCATTATCTCCTAATTTATTCTCTGTCTTATAGAACAGCTACTGTTAAGGGGTCTTCTTACTGTGCACTGGACTGTGATGGATTATTGCTTATTAACACTTAATGGTCTCTACCTCTGTACTTGATCAGAAGCATCCTGCAGTCTAAGTGGCTGGTCAATGCGTGAACTACAAGTGATCAATTTCAGATTGATTAGATAGCACATCTTCAATATATGATTCATTTTTTAAGGCTGACGATCACTTACTGGTATTCCCTTCCTGCCATCTCTGGACTGGTTCCCCGCACTGACACTGGGGCCATCCTTTTCATTACAGCTTGCTCCTGTCAGCCTACTAAGATTACAGAACTCTTAAGATGAGGCACCATCAAAGTAATTTGTGTGCCTGCTTACAGAATATGTAGTATCATACACTAATGAATAATATGATTACAAATGTTCCAACTGACGTTTTTAAATGTTCTGGGGCGTTTTAAAACATAGAATCCCCACAGTGTGGAAACAGACTATTCAGCCCGACAAGTCTACACCAACCCTCCGAACAGCATCCCACTCATACCCATATCCATACCCATATTCTATCCCTGTAACCCTGCATTTTCTATGGCTAATGCACCCAAACTACACATCCCTGAACACTATGGATAATTTAACATGGCCAATCCACCTAACCCGCACATGTTTGGACTACGGGAGGAAACTGAAGCACCCAGAGGAAACCCACGCAGATACAGGGAGAACTCCACACAAACAGTCACCCGAGGCTGGAATCAAACCCAGGTCCCTGGCACTGTGAGGCAGCAGTGCTAACCACTGAGACACCGTGCCACCAAATTCTAAAGTCTATCAATGTGTTTTAGTTAAAAACGTTACTTACTAAGTTAACTAAAAAGTTACTTTGAAAAGATTATGATCTCCCTTTGTTCTCCAAAGAAATAGGAGTCACATTGGCAAGAATCAAGTCTTATCATCATAATGAATTATGTTAAAATTGAGGTAACAATGCACCATTACAAAATATAACAAAGTAAGTCAAAATAATCAGACAATACTGATGACAGAACTTAATTCCAAAGTTATACGTGGACAGTTACATACCCAAGGTTAAAAAACTAACATCATTTCAGACCTAGATAACAAGGTGTAGAGCTGGATGAACACAGCAGGCCAGGCAGCATCAGAGGAGCAGGAAAGCTGAAGTTTTGGGTCTGGACCCTTCTTCAGAAAATTTAAGACCTAGTTGTGTCCTGATACCCAAAATGCATTTCACTTCAAAGGTCTTTATAGTTTATAGTAGGTCATAAAAAGTGAGTCTTCTCCTGCACTAGATATAGGATCTATTAGCCAGTGGCCAGATCATTAATGTCAGCTTTGACAGAAAGCAACCACAGGCAAAGGGCCATATGCTTTTAACAGCAGCATCTTTCACTGACTACAATAAAACAGAATATTATATTAATACATCAATTACTATCTAAATATCTAACCGAACTCTAACTAAATACTGACAAATTAACACAATCTTCCATTAGTGTTGAGCAAACTGCCACGGTACGCAACAATTTTAGAATGTTGAATCTGTCAATCCTTCTGACCAAGTGCAAATAAAATATCCTGAGCACCAGAGTAGGAGGTAACAGCAAAAAAGATCTGATATTATATTACCCAAAAAGTATGCAATCACCACAAATGGCGGTATTCCACAACAATTCATGATACTATAAAGCCCTATTCAACCAACACTCCTTTCCCGATGTTATGCAAACATAGTGCAAAATATCCCCAGGAGGGCAATTAAAAGCCTCTGAAACGTCAGGAAAGCCTAAACAGTGAATGCTGGCAAATCAATTGACTTTCTGAACATCCACCTTCAGTTTGGTCCTCATAGGATATCTACACACACGTAGTTTTTAACAGTAAAAGCATTGGTAATCAGGAACCGGGTGGATTTTTACCTTCTCAATTACTGGGGCTATGTTAGATAATTGGGTCTTCAATAATGAAGTTTGAATTCCAATTCCGAGAATTAAAATGCTGACACAGCTTTTGCATGCACCTTGTTAAGATCCAGGTCAGCCATGCTGCTTGATTCAAATCAGGATGACAGGTACTTCAACCCTATGTACTGACCTTGAATTTATATCCCTTCATATCATGATTCATTAAAAATGTATCAATCTCATTCCTGAGCATTGCAATTGACCAAAATCCACAGCACGGACGAACAGCATTTCAGATTTAAACTAATCTGTGTGAAAAAGCATCTCCTGGTGTCATCCCAATAATTTCCCTGCATCTAACCTATTTCTCCCTTTTAATCATTTTAAACATTTCACCCCTAATGGGTTGGGTGCTTGGCAATGTTCCTTTGAGGAACACACGAACAGGTGTGGCTTTTCAGCCCCTCAAAGCTGTTCCACTATTCAATGAAATCATGGCCTAACTCCATATACCTGCTTTTGGCCCATATCTCTTAATACCTTAGATAAATTTTTGTGAATCGATCTCAAGATTTAAAAGTTACAACTGATCGAGCATCAACTAACATTTGTGCAAGAGAGTTCCAAACCCCAACAACCCTCAGTGCTTAGAACTGCTTCCTAACATTTCTCCCAAATGCTTTCGCCCTAATTTTTAGACTACGCTGCCTGCTTCTAGAATCGCCAATCAGTGGAAATAGTTTATCATAATCTACCCTGTCTTTTCCTGTTAATATCTTGAAGACTTCTAAAGTGTGTTGCTGTGCAGCTACACAGAAGTTCACACACAGACTGAGCTCATCAGCCCTTTTAAGTTACTATACAAATGCCCCACAAAAAAAAATTAAGGGGTTTGC